AGAAGTCCATGCAAGTCCTGAATGAAGTTATCAATGTAGTTACTCATGAATCCAGGACTCGAAAGAAGTTCCTTCCATTTCCTATGATTCTCTTTTACTAAACAACCGATTTGGCTATCTTTATCCATCACACATTTCACAGCCTTGCACAAATTCTCCTTTGTAAACAAATCATTTTCATCCTTCTCCACTTCTACACCAACCTTAAGGTGTTGTTCCATAAGCCTAGCAGTAAAAATGTGATCAATAGGCCTTGGCAAAAGTACCAATTGACAATCACACAGCACCAAAGCCTCCCACATCGACCCATAACCACAGTGAGTGACAAAACAACCAACTGATTTGTGTCTTAAAATCTCCAATTGTGGCACCCAACAATCAAGAATCAGTCCCTTTTCTTGAACCCTTTGTTTGAATCCCTCTGGCAAGGCTTCTTCTACTGAATTTGTCCCTTCAGGTGGCTTAACAACTAAAAGAAATGGTAACTCAGTCAGTTCAAAGCCTAAAACAAGTTGTTGAAACTGTTTCTTTTCAAGAATCATTTGGCTCCCAAATGCACAGAACACTACTGATCCTGGTTCGAATTTCTCGAGCCAATTTGATAATTCATGTTGCTCCTTTTTGGGCTCGGGAATTACAGGTCCAGTGTAAAGGACTGGCTTTTCAAGTAGTGTTGCTAGGTAGTCACAAAAGATTCCTTCAATCTCTCTACATGTTTTCACAGCTATTGCATCACATAGTGAAAATCCCTTCATTCGTTCTTGAAACGTCACCCCCTTGCCATATTCATGATATAAAAATGATAACAACTTAGCTTCACTTTCACGCAACACCACAGTAGTAGAAGGGTAACCTGGAGGGAGATAGATACCATTTGAAAAATTTATAATCACAAACATTTATTTATAAAAGTAACACGGGCTGACCTGGAGGTGGCTTTACTAGCTCAGCAGCAGTTGATGTCATAAAAGTAGCCTTATCCGTTTGTTTACACGCTGCAGCAGGGGAAACAAGTAGGAAAAACAGAGTCTTGATACCCCCAATTTCTTTTGCTAAATCAGGAATCCAGTAAGCAAAATCAAAGAAAATGAAATGGGGTTTTAGATTTTGAAGAAAAGACTTGATTTCATCATACAATTCATCAAAAGCTGTTGCTAATAGACTCTCCAAGGATCTATGAACATCAGCTGTAGTCTCTGCTCCATATGGAAGGCCATCAACATGAGGTATTGTCAGTTTATGCAATTTGATGAGATTTGGATGAAGATTGAGTTTTTGAAGTCTAATTTCTGCATTTTTGGGCAACAAGAATGAGATTTTGTGACCTCTTTTTGCAAGTTCATTTGACAGATTCATGTATGGGATTAAGTGACCAAAAGCAAGCCATGGGAACATCACTATTTCCAACTTTGACTCTATGAATTCTGCCATTTTTTTTTTCTCCTTTGCCTTGCTAACTCTTTTTGTCCCTTTGTTGATTGCTTCCTTATCATTAATAATATATAGACAACTGTTATTATTTATTAGTAAAATGACTATCAATCAAATAATGGACATATAAACTTTATTATAATTTTGTCCCTTTGTTGATTGGTTCCTTATCATTTATTTATAATATATAGACAACTGTTATTATTTATTAGTAAAATGACTATCAATAATATCTCTGTCTATATAAAGGAGGAACATAGAGAAGGTGATCTAACACCTCTCTATGGCCTCCATTCATATTTTTTTTTCTTTTTTTCTTGACATTTTTTCTTATTTTTTTCAATTATTTTTTTCTTGCAAAATTATCTTCTCAACTTATACCTCTTCAATTATATAAATTCTATTCTTAAATTTGTACTAATAATATTCATAACTCCCAAACCTTTTATATTCATAACCTCTCAATCCTTTCATATTTATAACCTCTAATTATATAATGAAGAAGGTTATATTAACACTATAAAATCACACTAAAATTGTGTTATTTTGTAGTCATCTTCGGTTAGAGAATTAGTGGAAGACATGTCACAATTTTTTTAAGCTTTGAGGTGCATTATCTTTTCCAAATATGATTTCATATACTACTTTTAATTAGCAAGTAAAGCTAATATGTCAAAGCATATTTTTGTTTCTTTTGGATAAATTATTTTGGTTTGTTATCATTATGATTCTCTTTATAACCATAAAAATGGAGAATCATTTTAGGACTAATAATTTGTTATTATTTTTCTTGACTCTTGTATATAGGATGAAATGAAATCATCCAAATATGGAGATTAATGGATTTTGAGCTATATAGATTGATTATTCTTTATTTTTTAGGTGCTTAAGAAGTAATGTTTCTATTATACTAGAAGGGTAAGGCCCGTGCTGAGCACGGGCCCAACAGTGATTTGCTTGTGTTGTAATTCGAGGATAAATAAATAAGGAGAAAATAACATCAATGACAATGGAGTAAATAATTCTTGTCAAGGTACTTATCAGATAGATCAATTCAACTATTACACATATCTCAATAGAGATATTTTTTATATATGGAGCAGGGATAGGTAACATTCCTAAAAGTTGGTCCGCAAATAGGTCACAAATAGTGCCTATGGCTTCTTGCAGCTGACATTGTAGATGACTACTTAGTTATTTTAAGTAAGAACACTGTGCGGGAATGATGAAAGACATGTTAGCCACCTAGCTATCTGAAGTAAGAGCACTGAAAAATCTCGATCCACGCACCAACCTTGTGAAAGATCTTTCACTGAAGGAGATTAGGTTAGAAGAAGAGAATGAAAAAAAAGTAAAGAAGAGAACTCACCTGAAGAGAAAAGATGACAATTTGTTTGGTGATTTTTTATTTCTTTTTAGCAGTATGAAGACTCAAATGGCATGGCTTGGCGTATAAGATGACATACACGTGATTTGCTAAAAAAGAAGTAGATACACGGCGTTCTTGTCATATCTATAGATATTAATATTTTTCATTGAAGTAATGCATAATCTTTAAATATCTATCAGTTCTTTTAGGAGTAGTGCCGAAAGCGTAGACGTCATTCTTCTCATTTAATATTTTCTTAAAATTCAGTAAAGGATGCTCAGTAATGTTATAGGCAAATGAGAATAAAACACATTGACAAATAAGTTTGTAGGCAAATGAAGATCCAATGAAATGAACCTTTGTTTCAATCGAACTACTTGACCCGATACTCTAACAAACTACTTCTTCATGGAGATCAGATCCTTGGTGAAGCAAAAAAAGCTTCTATATATATGGAGTTATAGGATAGGTAACCTTCCAAAAAGTTGTTCCATAAATAAGTAACAGATAGTACCTCTGAGACATTGCATTTGCAAGTATAGCTGAACTATATCTGCAGAAGTGAAAGAAACATAATGACACTCCAATTAAAGATTATAGTCCTTATTGACTTATTCACGTGAAATGACTATTGATAGATCAATCACTACCACTTCAGTTCCAAATAAAAGAATCAAAGGCAACAGAAAAGAGAAAAAGAAAAATGGAAAGAAATCAGATAACGAAGAACGTTTAGAATCCCCCAAGAAGATACAGGGAAGTGCCTTAAAACCTCCTCCTTTTATACATATAGGTATATATATAGCAGAGTAAAGGAAGTTGAAAGTTCATTTTCCTCCGATAATCCTCTCTAAGTATATTAGAGACAATAGAGCTTCAATATTTTGTGTAGATGCTCCACCTAGAGCATTTTTAACAATTATTATATCATAAACAACCCTTGGAAGAATCTGAATCAATTATAGTTGATGAGATATTGATAGATATTGACTTCTGGATGATCTACCTAATTAACTTTCACCTATAAAAAATCACTTTAACTTTTTTGAAAGTTCGGCTGGTATCGTAGACCAGGCAGAATAGGCTGCCCGTAAACATTTCAACCATGAGGAAGCCTGCACTCCAAAGATCAATACATATTTCATAATCTGTAGAATTTTATGGAGCTATTTACCAAAGTGTGACAACTCAACTTGAAAGAGGATGCTCTTTTTCTGGATTGAAGTAGTTCGCAAATAAAAAAACAATAATTTTAGTATTCCATGTTTGTCAATCAACAAAGTAGATCCCTTAATATCTCGGTGCAAAATACCCCTTTCGTGGCAATCTTCTGCTTGTAGTCAGCTAGGGTGAAGGTTCGCTTGGGGATCAACAATGGTTCTTGAGAGCCGGCCACGTCCAGGGTGTAGACTCGGATCGTGACAAATAGAAATAATTAAAATATGTGATGATTGGGTGATGACGACGACAAGGAATAGTAATTGTGGATAATGATAAAAAAAATTAGTGTTGGCTAACGATGTAGTCATGTATAATAACTATTAATGGCTATCTGAGTTTACACATTGTCGAAAAATTATACTAAAAATATAACTATGGTTCTCTTTTACATTAATTACTTCAAGAAAGTTTATTATAATTATTAAAGTATTTAATGAAAATGGGTATTAGTTAAAAACGAAGTTCTAAAGAGATGAATTTAGATTTAACTTAACTTTAAGAGACCGCTTGTCTCTTTTTTATCCAACATGGACTCTTAGGCAAAAGTCAACTAACATTTACTCCCCTTCAATTTTGAGTGTATACTTGTAAATACTTAAACTATCTTTTGCACAAATAAATATACACGTTCTATGTGGCGTTTTATGAGACAATTGATGTACTACCTAGCATTCTATGTGTATTATAAGATAAGACACATATATCTTTTTGTTCAATATTACATAAATTTTAATATTCACTTATATGCATTCAAAAGTTAGAATACATAAAAATGTCCTTTAAAGTCAAATCAAATGTATGTTCATTTTAGCATTTTGGTCCCATGTGATGGTGCAGTTCCCCGCAAAATAAAACAAAATAATCAGATCTGATCTCTACTTGGTATTTTTTTTTAAAAAAATTATATAAAATTAAAAGTATATATATTATAATAAAAGAAAGGTCCCTTGGTATCTCTTCTTTTTTTCCATTCAGTAAAATGAGTAGCAATAATTTGCTGCTTCTTCTTTTTCTTCTTTTTCTTCAACTTCAACAACAACAAGCTGCTTCGCATTCTACGACTGAGTATCTTCCCGGTTTGCAGGGCCGTCTCCCCTTTCCTCTAGAGACCGGGTGAGTCTCCTTCGAATTTATTTATTTATTTCCATCAAATCGAGAGGATTTATGTTTTTCTCATAATATTAGAGGCTAAGTTCAAATTTAAATTTTAAATCTTCATCTGTAGGCTCACTAAAGATACTCAAAAGAAAGGGCTTTCTTTGAATAGAAATATGCAATCTTCCTTTAGCCACCTTTTCCTGTCTATTCAAGCCTTGCATCAGTCTGAAATCTATTGGTAATTGATCGATATGTAGGAAGAAGCTCCGTTAAAACCTGTCTAATTCAAAGTAAAGGCTGAACCCGGGCCAATAGCAGTTCAACTGTTCTTTCTAGCAGGTGCAATAGCGCACTAGGATTTTCAAATCTTAAGAACTGAAACTCCTCTCCTTACAGTCAAGTGGCTTTCCACTCCTCGGCATGAGCCGAGTGGGGTGGGGTTTGATCTTTTGCTGCTCCCATTGACCACAGAGGCATGCGAGAGAAAGCGCTGAACAATGATTCAATGATTAAGGTTATGAATTTTAGAATTTAATCACAGTGGAGATGCTTCGTAATGATGATAAATATTGGTGTTACTTCTTAGTGGTTTGTAATAATGATAACTGCTACATTTTTTATTTTTTTTTGTGAAAGTAAAACAATTTTTTTTTCCAGATATTTGAAAATTCTATTTTATTTTATTTATATGACTCTATAATTAATTAAGTAGGTATGTTGGAATTGGTAAAGATGAGGAGGTGCAACTTTTCTACTATTTCTTGGAATCAGAATCCGAGCCTACAACCGATCCTCTCTTGGTTTGGCTATCTGGTGGTCCGGGTTGCTCTTCTGTCATTGCCATTGTTAATGAGATAGGTATTTTTAAAAAAAAATTTAATTTGTTCGTTTGATTTTGATATTATACAAATTTTAAGAAATTTAAATTTTAAATTAAAAATATATACTCATTTTATCAACGAATGATTACCACAACTATTTGATCACATTACATTTATTAATTGATGTTTATGATGGGTCTTTGAAAATAATTTGGATGATAAATAATTAATGTTATAAAATATTATTAAGTACTTAGTAATTTTTTCTATGTTAAAAGTGACAAATAAAAATAAAAATTTATTTTTGAAATAATGAACAAGTAAAAGTGATTAAAGGGTGTAAATATACTATATATTCTTTAAATTTTGTCAGATTAAACATCACAAATAGAAAGTTAAAGCTAAAAACTAGTCAAAATAATATTAAAAAAATATTCTTTTTAAAAAACAGATTTAATTAGCTCGAGCTATGAATAAGATTTATTTTTTTTTGGTTTAGGACCACTCCGTTTCGTGGAACAAGTCTACAATGGGAGTATGCCCTCGTTTGTACTAAACCCACACGCATGGACAAAAGTAAGTTACATGTATATGGGATAAGGCACAAGTACCCCCTAGACTATGATTGAAATTTCAGAGGCATAGCTTAATTAAACTAAGGTTCTATTATCCCCTTGAACTTATATTTTTGTAATTTTGTACAATTTTTGTCTTACGTGGTACACTCCGTGACTTCACGCAATTGAGGCATGTGAGAGATATTTGGATGCCACGTAAGCCAAAAAGGTGCACAAAATTACAAAAAAAATGGGTTCAAGAGAGTAATAGGACCTTAGTTTAGTTAAGGTGTGTCTCTGAGATTTTAGTCATAGTCTAGGGGGGTACTTGTATATTTTCCATATTTATACATATTACATTATACTTTGAATTTTGCAATTCGAAAAGTACCCATAAATTGAGATGAAAGGAGTATATAATTAAGGAAAAGTTACGCATATAAACTGTTTGATTATCGATTTTCAGATAGCAAATATAATATTTTTGGATCAACCAGTAAATACTGGATTCTCATATGCAACAAATTCAGCTGCATATAAGTACACTGATGTACAAGCATGTGAATATGTCGATGAATTTCTAAGAAAGGTATGTACTCAATTTTTGAAATTTGTTATTATAAACAAAATTGAAGTCATGTTTACTTAATCATGAATAAATTATTTCAGTGGCTCAGTGATCATCCACAATACATCTCAAATCAATTTTACATTTCTGGAAACTCATATGCTGGCACGATTATTCCAGTTATAGCCCAATTGATATTGAATGGTAAGATTTATGTCTACAATTAATAAAAATACTAAGTATATACCTATTTCAAATCAATCAGTTTGATGTACATATATATATATATATATATATATATATATATATATTAGGTTATGTACATCTTTAGTAACGCAAATATTAAATTGTATTTGAATAATTTATTCAAAATTGTAGTTGAATATTCTTAATTTGTCAAAAAATTATAATGTGTGTATAAAAAATTGTGTGGTATATATTGATCAAAATCATATATTATATCTTAATTAACACCTTTAAAGAAATTAATCTTTGATTTTGCAATGCAGGAAATGCAGCAGGAAAAGAGCCATTGGTTAATCTTGAGGTCAATTTTTGTTAACTAAGTAATTAATTACTATCATCAACATCAAGTAATCTTTTTAATTTATTTTTTTCATGCATTGTTAATTTCAGGGATATTTACTTGGCAATCCTATAACAAGTCGTCTTGAAGATCACAATTACCATATACCTTTTTGCCATGGCATGGGACTTGTATCTGATGAACTTTATAAGGTTAAGTTCCAATTAATTTGTTTTGATATATATATATATATATAAAATTACGTTTAATCTTGACATGTCAATTTAATTTGGATGTTGATTTGTCTTAATATAGTCATTAGAGAAGAATTGTGGAGGAGAATATACAAACATAGATCCCAATAATACAAAATGTACAGATGACTTTCAAAATTTCGAGCAGGTTGTATATAAATATTGTTTTATAGTATTATCGATGATATAATTTAACATGTCATAGTAAATTAAATTAATATTATGCAGATAGTAAGCAACATTAATGTGGAAAACGTATTAAAGCCCTTTTGCAAAAATGATGATGATCTTCGAAGCCCATATCAAATGTCTGGTGAAAGAAGACTACTAGATGATAAACTCATCTCCTTGCAACATGAAGACAAGTGTGCTGTAAGTTTTCCGTTGTTGAGAGACTTTAATACGTATAGTATATATCAGAAATTGGAGTTGAGGTGGTTAGACATATACCCCGATATGCTCTCAGCATAGGAGTTAGCCTATGATTCTATTGGTGTTGTTGCTGAAGGTACACACCCCTTTTCTTCTTGGTGTGAAACAATATACAAAAAAAAATATATAAAAAAGATACTAAAACAAAAGAAAGAACAAAAGAAAAAAAAATATGAATCACTTTTAGTTCGCTTTTAAAGTCAGATGGTATTCAACTCTAATTAGTTCGCTTTTAAAGTTACTCAACTTTGTTTTATACCCTTAATTAAGTGACTTCGAATTATAAAACAAAGTTGAATCACTTTCTTAGCATTATCAAGAGTATATGATTTTTTGGATACATTACTATTTGTGTATATAACTTAAATGAATAAAAAGAAGGCGGAATGACCTGGGAGGCTCCTGTACTTGGTTTAGTTTGTCAGTTGAACCCTTGTACTCATCACTTTGCCAAATGAACCCTTAAACTCAATGAAACTCTATTTTTTAAACTCCTCTAACCATTGACCGGACTTATGTGGCACTGAAATGACTTAGTTAGACAAATATGTGACCCCACGCGTTTTGAAGTAAGTGAATACAATATTTTTATTTTAAAATTATCAAAATTATAAGACAAAACAATAATAATAATTTTAAAAAAAAATTTGAAAACCTCCTTCTTCTTCACTCCACTCCACCTCGCCCCACCCCACCGCACCTTTTTTCTCTTCTTCTTCTTCAACCTCTGTCTCCACCCCCACCCCCCCACCCCTACTCCTTTTCTCTTATTCTTCTTTGACGTACACATTATCACAGTAAAATCATCAAATAAAAAATTGAAAGAAGTTTTTGCAAGAAAATATACCGTTCACCATTTTTATAAACTTAATTCTTTAAGATCTATTACTTGAGTTTACATATAAACATATTTTTTTCCAATTTGAAGTTTTCTTGATATCTCTTTTTATTAAATAAAAATAAATAAAACCTTAAATTATGTGCAAGAACTAATTATAATCTATCACATTTATGATTGAAGAAATTTTTGAATGTGAATTATGAAGAAAGATGAAAGTGGTGGTTTTTATTTTTTGGATGAAAATGGTAGAAGGTGGGAATAAAGAGGATGAAGTGGGAAGGAGGTGAAATGAGTAAGAGAGAGAGAAAATTGCATTTTTTAAAATATTATTTATTTTTAAATATTTAATTTCTGATGTGTTATTAAAAAATGACGTGGTATTTCATGTGTAAAATGAATGTACTACACACACACATCGGATGAGAAAGGGGTCTAAAATGGTGTGTTTGCACGAGTTTAAGGGTTTAGTTGACAAAGTCGTAAGTACATGGATCCAACTGTCAAATCGAGTCAAGTACAAGGGCCTCTCAGGCTATTCCGCCTAAAAAGAATACTACTAATCATAGAAATTTATTTTCAATTACTCCAGTCTGATTGGCGCAAGCATATGAGGTATTGGGCTAATGACCTTGAAGTCCAAGAAGCTCTTCATGTTCGAAAGGTACGAGGATTACAATAGGAGTGTATATATATCACATAATTTTTACTTATTCAGTATTGACTTGACACATTTCTTAAGAATCAACAGATAGAATGATAATTTTACTGCAGGGAATTATAGGAAGTTGGATAAAATGTAGAAAAGATATAGGTAGAGGCTCTCATCACAACTACACATTCACGATAGATGATGTTATACCATATCATGCAAATCTAAGCACTAAAGGTTATCGGTCACTTATATACAGGTAATTAACAGTAATCAATATTTGTTATGTTTGTGTGTATGCAAACTTCATATATTTGGCATGTGGTTAATTAGTTATTGTCAAATGGTTATAATTTTAACTTTCATGATATCCGAATAATGCAAAGTAAGTGGTCATTTGGTCCTGGAAATTAATTATTTTTTTATTTGAAAATTTTAAAAGTTGGAGTTATGTTTGGCCGTACTTTTTATAAAGAATATTTAGAACTTGAATATATTTTTTTAAAATATAATTTATACCTTTCAATTTCTAAAAATTAACAAAATCACTCAACTTGACTAATTTATCTGAAATATACTATCAGATAGGGTTGTGTCTGGTACTTCAGGTTGTATTTGAAATTGCCATATGACCAAATACTGATTTGAAATTGCCATATGACCAAATACTGATTTTTAAATAACATAATAATTTTTTTTTAAATAAATAAATAATCTTCATGATCAAACGGGTCCTAAATCTCACCAAGTGCTACAAAACTAAGAAATGATTACTAAAAAAGATGTGTGTCCCCAACAAAAATATATAGAGGAACTTTTTTCTTGTCATTAGAATTTTTTTTTTTTTTAATGTATTTACAATAATTAAATGACGATTTTTTTATTACTATTTTTATGTTTTAAACAGTGGTGATCATGATTATATGGAACCTTTTCAATCCACACAAGCATGGATAAAATATCTAAATTACTCTATTGTTGATGATTGGCTTCAATGGAACACAAATAATCAAGTTGCTGGGTAATTAATCTCCAAATTTGACATCCTTAATTACAATTATGAATTATTAATTAAAACTAATCATTATGTGAGTTGATAATGCTTAATAATTTTTATAATATCGTATCCTTGTAGTTATACGAGATCTTACTCCAACAAAATGACTTATGCAACATTGAAGGTATGGAATTAATTGTAGAAACAAGTTTCATGAAAATTGAAAAATAATTAATTTATCTCAATCAGGGGCGGCTCAACGTAATCGGAGGCCTAAAGCGAAATCTTAATTAGAGGCCTAAAATCTAAATAAACTTCACATGCATTTATTTAAAATTTATTTTTCTTACATTTTTAAATGCAAAGTATTACTTAATATTTTTTTTTATATATAAATGATTTATTCGATTTCTTTTTCAATTATTAGTTTTAAATAAGATTTTATTAATTCAACGTTGAAAAATATTATTTTACTCGGGCAATCATTATATGAATTGTTAACATAGTTCTACAAGTAATAAGTTGACAAATTTCAAATAAATATAAGAGTTAGAACCATAGCTTTGATGAAGTTGATAATTTGGTTACCCCACATTTTACTATGGTTGTTGTAATGCTTGAAAATCTGAGAAGAAATGGAAAAAGAATTTACAATTGAATTTGTTCAATTCTTTTCGACTATTAATTGATATTTTTGACAGAATATTACTCTAACTTATCAACAATTTAAAGAAGAAAGTGTAAAAGGAGTAAAAAAGAAAATAATGTGAGTATTAGTAGAGAGAGTGTAAGAAATAAAATAATATTTTCTTGATTTCTTCTATTTAAATGGGGTTGAAGAGAATAAAATAATAATTTTAAATATATACTTTTTTTTATCATAAATAATCAATATTTTTTTTATAAAAAATTAACACATAATTTATTCTTGGTAAAAAATTGAGGCCCCCTAAAATTGGGGGCCTAAGGCCAATGCCTTATTAAAGTATACATAGAGCCGGCCCTGATCTCAATTTACTAAGATTGGTTTTATTTTATATTTGTATTTTACTTTGCATTTTATTTATTTTTCTTTAATAGGGATTCGGACACACAGCTTGTACCGACAAACCTGAAGAATGTTTTGCTATGTTCAAAAGATGGATAAATCACAATCCTCTATGATGTTATCATTCTTTTAGGTTCCACATTTCATTTTACATACTAGAAGAGCAATAAATAGAAATTGCAAGGTTCAAAAGATTCTTGAAACAACCCCCATCACCAACACTCTACAAGTTGTTTTTCCCCCTTCCAAGAGATAGAGCTTCCACCCTTTTTGTTCTGTTGTTGCTGATTCGAACTCATAACATTTGGATTGGAAGTAAGAGGTGCTTATCATACTAGAAATTCCCTTTTGTCGAGGATTAGAGACAGTTTGGTTTTAAGAAATGAGTGGATTCAATTATTAAATTTAATTATTACATGTGACGAATCATAATAGCTCATGCAATTATTTTAAATTGCAAAAGGTGTCAGGTTTTAGCTGTTAATTTGAGAAGTAGTCTTGAGCGAAAAATAGATGGGAATATTTTTGCCCCTTTTTCGTAGTTAAAATATATCAAGACCTTAAAAAAAATGGCACAAAATTTGAAGAAAAGATGTATAACTCATAGGTAAGGCATGAAAACATTTTATAAACTAGATACATAGTTTATAGAATCTGAATTTCAAAACAAAATAACAATTGGTTGGGATAATTATTCATAAATATTAAGTAAATTTCTTAACAAAAATATACAAACACATTGGATTCTGCAAACCCCGTAACTTCAACATAAGATCCACCCCTGCTAATCATCTAGGTCTTTTCAACCAGAAGCCCATGCAAGTCTTGAATGAAGTTATCAATGTAGTTACTCATGAAGCCGGGACTCGAAAGAAATTCCTTCCATTTTCTATGATTCTCTTTCACAAGACAACCGATTTGGCTATCTTTATCCATCACACATTTCACAGCCTTGCACAAATTCTCCATTGTAAACAAATCATTTTCATCCTTCTCCACTTCTACACCAACCTTAAGGTGTTGTCCCATAAGCCTAGCAGTAAAAATGTGATCAATAGGCCTTGGCAAAAGTACCAATTGACAATCACACAGCACCAAAGACTCCCACATCGACCTGTTGACACCCAATTTTGGACCTCCACAATATAAATTAATCATTTCGAGCTTCTTCAATTTCAAACGATTTAAAATAACTAGTTTTATAAAAAAACAAAAAAAATAAAAAATAATATAGTTTGCAAGATTTTTAAATAGTTTTGTCACTTTTCATAATTTTTAGATGATATATATGTTTTACATAATTATGTATATAATTAGTATATTTTATGATTATTCGAAAATCGTCTCAAAAAAGATTTTATATTTTAAATATTAGGGATGGTTATAATTTTGAATTAATGAGTTTTATGAAATTCAAAATACTTTCAAGTTATTTTTAAAAACAATTTTATCATTTTTAAAAAATAATAAATATGTATATTTTTGCAATCACGCTATTTTATGAATATTTGAAAATCATCACAAAAGATTTTACATATTAGTTAAATATTTTATTAATTTACTTTAAGTTATAGTTATAATTTTGAGTTAATTAGCTTTGTAATTGAATTAATTAGTTTATAATTAAGTTAATAATTTTTTATTTTTTTTTTACTTCGTTAAGATTAAGAAGCTCATTAATTAATTTATGCTATTTCATCTTATTTAGTTTTAACCGAATTCACCAATTAAATTTAATTTGGCTAACTACTTAATTCCCATTGGCCAAGTTTGAGATCCATTTATTTATTTCCTAAAATCCAAATATAACCAAACTTTGCTCCTTGATTGGGCCAAATTTAAGATCAAATTTGGCCCAAATTCCACTCCCATTCCTTTCACCCTTCAGCAGCCCTTTAAAACACAACAACATATATCAACCCATTAATTCATTCAAATTCCCAACCCAACAAAATTAACAACAACAACGTACATCAACCAACCAACAGCCCATTACCCTCAACCCGGCCCAAATTCACTTCTTCCCTTCACAAAGAGACCCGACCCCTGCACATCTCCTTCTTCTACGCAAACCCAACAGCTCACGTGAACCAGACAACAGCAGTGTGCATTTTTCTTCTGCCTCACGCGTCAATATCCAACAACTCCCACAACTTTCTCTGCAACAACCGCCCATCTTGATCTTTCCATCAGGATTTTGGGGGATTTCGATTGAAAATCTGGTACAAGCAGCAGTCCGTTGGTCTTTGGGGAAAGGAATTTGAATTGAAGATTGGATAGGAATTTCCTTTTTGGTCCTTGCCCTCGTCCAATTTTCATCCCCAAGAACAGACCCTAGAATTTCCTCTATATAAACGTCGCTTTTTATTCATTGTAGAGTGGGGGGGAAAATTTTTTTTAGGCACCAAAAATAACTAAATACTTACCAAATACACTTCAAGGAAAAGAGTGAGGTTGGATTAAGTTGGAAAAGGTTGAAAAAAAAAATATATAGTCAAAAGGAAATACATAGAGATAGGAATAGAACACAATCCATACTCTAGATTCATTCGAGTATAGCAAAATAGGTGCGAAAGAAGTTCTTTCTTATTTGTTGTTCACCGGAGCTTATCGTAATTCATCGTTGGTAAAGGTTGTGGCTCCCAAAGCTCGCCCGAGTTCCGGTTCGCTGCTCATTATAAGGTAAAGGCCTTTTCTTAGTCTCGTTCGATTCGTTTTCAAGTTCGTCCTTGTTTCTTCTATCTGGGATTTGTATTTGTGTATTGGGACAACATGTGTTAAGTTTATCTATTGTTTCATGGAGATATACGACATAGATCTTGGTCTCTTTGTTCATTTGTGTTAGTTTGGGTTTCGATTCATTGTTCTCCCCTAAAATTATGTTGATGCAAAATATACTTGCGTATTGCGTATGTTGCCGGTTGTTATGTTTCTAAGCTTGAAAAAATATCTCCTTGTGTAGATCTTTACTTGAGATGTTGAAGATTCATGCCTTTTTTTTAGTTCACTGTTGGTTGGCTATCATTGTGGGTTTATTTTCTTAACAAGTCGTAGGTTGATTATTTCGATTATATCTTAACTAGCATGACCAATATGGATCGAATAGCTTATTGCCTTACCCTCTTTTATTTATTTATTTATTTATTGCGTTTGCTGATTGAATATCTTGTACTAATTTTGGCTTGTTTGAAGCATGTCTTCTTGATCGATTAGTAAAATGATGGGTTTATTTATAAGTCGACATGATCTGATGCTTTAAATTCTTCGCTGGGGGTCATTTTACATTTTATCTCGTGTTGGTCCTCTAAAATATGTTGTGGTCGGATGCCGTAATGGTTTGTGCTTTCTTCTTCTTAGCTTGTCCATTGTTTTGAGTCAAACATAAGCGACTTATGTTAGTTCGAAATTAACTTCGCAAGTTGATCAGTTTTTTTTTTTTAGTTCTATGTTGACTGTTTGTTGTTTATTCATAAAGATTGGATGTTTGTTTAAGTGTTCCGAATCTGCTTAGTTTGTCCAATTACGAGGGTTTACAATTGTCTAGTTTGTTTAGAAATTTGTAAGATTTCTTAAATTATAATCACTGCATTTGGCTTAGATTGAAATCTAAGACCAACACTTCCCTTTGAAACTTTAGCCTTTTTGATTATTCATTCCTAGTCTAGATACTACTGCCTCCATTATCCCGCAATTATTTTATCAACTTTGCCGCAAATAGATGCTAATTCTCTTATTTGCTTATTGTTTTGCATGAAATCTGCTCCATTTGAGTCCATAATGGACTCCACCTCATCGCCTTGCATTTCAAGGGGACCACGAAGGCCCTAAAATTCTTTTATCGAGTCAGCCAATCTTGAAAAATTGAAGAACAAGTCTTTGGAGTTGACGTACAGGTCCCGAAAAGCGGAAAAATGGGTTGTATATATCCGATATACACTGATATACATCAGCTGTATACCAAAAAGGGGATCGAGTAAAATCTCCAGAAATTGCAGTGAAATTGGCCCAAAAAGGAGGCCCAAATTCAATTTCTAACTTGTTTAATTGTGTGATTATTTATTTATTTGTTTTCTTTTAAATTGTGACTTAATTTAATTAAATTCCCCAAAAGATAAACCATGTTCTTTATGTTAGTTTCTTTAAAAATAATTCATTTTTTTATCAACTCTTATGCTTATTCAAATATTTTTAGTCAAAACTTTCACTCATCTTTAATTAGATTAAAATAATGTCTTGGTTTGTCTACCGAGTTGGTTCGAATTATTATTTCTAAAAAATGACGCAAATAAATCTTATTTAATCTAGTTTTGTTAAAATCCTAATTGACCAAGTTGTTTCAATTAAGATCCAATTTTCCAAAAATTATAAAATACTTTATTTAACTATTTTTATCAAAGTTAATCGAATATCGTAAAATTATTGTATATTTTATGTTAAATTATTGTCCTAAATATTTTTTAAAGATATGTTCTTTAAGGGTTTTCTTCATTTAAAGCATTTTTTTTTCTTTTCTCATTTCAAAATTGTTCTAAGTTGAAGTATTTTTTTATTCTTTTTTTTTATTTTTAATAAACTTTAAAAATGTGTTAGTCAAAATCTTTTCAATTGATTAATAATAATAATAAAAAATATATATATATATATATTTACTTAAGTCATTTTCTCAAAAAAAAAAAAAGGGTTAATCAATTTATAAGAAATGGTTTTTGTGTTTTAATTTATCAAATTGGTTTAAAAATGAATTAAATAAATTCTAGTTAATCTAGTTTTGTTAATATTCCAATGACTTGTATTTCGAGTCGAATATTTCATTTTGGATCCCTTTTCTCTAAAAAATAAAATAAAATAAATGTGTCATTTATTTAACTTTTTTTTCTAAGTTAACAAAATATTGTAAGTTATTTTTCTTATGTTAAATCACCTTTTCTAAAAATTAGTCAAAAAATATATTTTAAGTCAAGTCGCAGGTCAACCGCATGTTAGCGGACACTTCGAATGCTTAAACCCTTCTCGAAGTGTAAATTGAACCCCGAACCCTCTTTGGTATTTTCAAATAATTTTTTCTGTTTAAATCTTTGGAAATTATAAATTTTCTTAATTTCTTTAAAAAATTAAG